TCCTCATTAAGCCGAGCGTGCAACTAATCAATTTATATACCGGCTTTTAATCCGCGTTTCCCAAACGCGATTATTCACGGTAGACGGAATCTTATAGAGCAAATTAAAAATCCGGATTAAAACGAACTCGTATCCACTTAGCGACGTTGCGGAGTTAATGCCGCATTATTATACGATTTCCTGCGGTATACGTCGTGTGTCCGGTGAAACGAAGGCGCACTTGTGAGAGAGCTCTTGTGCTGTATCGAGGTTGAGTAAAAAAAAAAAAAAAAGAAAAAAAACACTCTTCTACTAAACGCTATTACTCACGTTACATTAATTTAATTAAGGCGCGTTATATTTCAATCGCGAGAAAATTCAAAAACTTTTTTTTTCAAAGACGAGAGAGCCTTCGAGAGAAGATAAATCACGAGAATATAACGGGGGAACTGCCACTTACGTATCGCTGACAGTCGGACGTTTAGGTAAAGAGCCCTAAGTGACCAGCGACGATCGGGAAATCTGTCCCGCGGACTCTTCGATTGATACGATATCCTGACCGCATGGGGACAGTCGTTCCGCGGAGATTTGCTGAAGAGAAGGACAAATCTGAAGGCGAATCCGGAGCGATTGATATCGAGAGAGAGAGCCCGGAAGGCAAGGTAGTGGAGATATGGCGATGGAAAGACGATGGAAACGTCGTGTGCCCGCTTTCTCTCTCTCTCTCTTTCTTTCCCTCTTTCTCTCGTCTCCACGAAGCTATATTCAGCCTGGAAGGCGCAATGAATGGGAGCTTCTACGAGATCCAGAGGTACCTCTTCAGACCGTCTACGAACATCGGCAGGAATCTTTCCTTTTTCTCCTTTTCCTCTTCACGTCGTGCAAGCCTCCGAGAGAAAGAGAATTTCTCGCCTTCTACTCTCGTGTCGTCTTCTTCCTTTTTCTCTCTCTCTCACGCCGCCATACAGGGAGATCGACTCTTCGCACTTGCGGATTTCCGAGAAATCGCTTCTCAGTGCTTTCTCGCGGCGAAACTAATTTGCAACGATTTTTTGAAGATGTTACACGAGACGAAGATCGTGAGGGAGAACTAATCTATTCATTTACAAAAAATATAATCAATTTTTTCTCAAAAACTCGTCATAAAAAAGTTTTTAAAAAGCGATAAAAGAACAGAAAGAGAAAGAGTAGGGGATGGAATAGACATTGATGGGAAAGAACACCTGCTGTATTTCGCACGGCCGCAATGATAGCGAGCGAATGATCTACGTCGATCAGTTTATCGGAAGAAAGAAAAAGAAAGACGAAAACACGCACATCAGGATTGCGCTGCTTTCCGTCCCCAACGAGAAATCGACTTTTCTCTTGCACTTAACAGATTTCCGCGGTGGAGGCGAGTTCGATTTCCTCTCTGATAAATCGAACCCTCCAGACCTTTTTCCCGAACACCAATTTATATTAAGTAAGAGGAGAGGCATATGTGTTATGGCAGAGTCGTATCCCGAAATATATACCGTGGGGTCGGGACACGAAATTGCTATAGCCAGGGGCAATTTTGCAACCTGAGGATAGATTTCGGAATATCGCTCGCTTCGGAAGAGAAGCCGGAGGAGAATCGCGCGTGATTTTCCGACGTCGTTTTGTAAACGTAAAATGATATTTTCAACTGCCAAATAGGTTTTGCTTCTTATTTTTTTTTTGAGCACACGTGACACGTCTCTGCGTGGGTCGCAGATGACGTTAATGTTTACAACGGCATAAGAAACACACGACGACTCCGAGAAACGTCTTTAGTACACGTCAAGAAGTTAATTAACGTAGCAGTAAATTAATATCAATGTGCGCGAGTTTCTTCTTGTAAATATTTACACAAATTTCAATTACAATTAAAATATCGATTCTATTTTACTTTCGCACACGACATGTAAACCGACTCTCGTGCGGTACTTCTTGCGGCAGTTTTTGCGCGTTGCGTAAATGTTACGATTTTACACAACGTGAAGCGCACACACGCGCGCTCTCGTCGACGACGACGGCTAATAATTTCCCCGAGGTTCCTGACGTAACCGAACCGTCCAAAAAGAGCGGAGCGCGTACGTTTTTGAGGTAAAAAGCGACAACGAAATGCACGACTTTGTCACCGGATCCGTCGTTGTCTCCATTCGCGCGCATCGGCGAGTCTGCGCAAACACGCGTGTTTGCACACACGTCCCGAAAAACACGCGAGCATTAACAATCACTGATAGACACGGGTAGTTTTGCACCGCATTCTGCTGCACTGTACTGTAATACGCGCTTTTCACACGAGAGATAGTACGTAAAAGACTCGTGTGTTGCGAAAAAAAAAAGAGCGCCAGCGTGATTATTTTACACTACGCGAACGCTCTGTAAAAACACAGTCGCGTGTTTGTAATTTTAATTTTCCGACAAGGAAAACAACAGCTGCGCGATTCTTCTTGCGCAACGTCATATAATTATGTTTTGTGTAAAATTAATTAACATGTAATCTCGACGAAGAGAAACAATACGCGAAAGAAATCCAAGTGCGCGCTTTCTCAAAGTCGCTTCTAATGAAACACTTCGTAATTAAAACTACATCGAGCATGATTGCGTTTTTTTTTTTTTTTTTTTCTAAACCGCGACACACGAGATAAACTAGTACTGCGATATTCATAAAATGTGTCTATGTATATGATAAAAATAAAGTCCGTTTCGTCATCGATCGAAAAAAAAAAATGCGCTCTGTGTTTCTGTTATTTCAATGTTAGCTAATTTTTACGAACGCTTTGACATTTAAGGCGACACATCGTCTCGGTCATCAACAAACACCGGTAGAGGTTCGAGAAATGACACACACCGCGTATCGCGTCAAACATATCGTCGCGCGTGTTTTTATAATTCACGAAATATACGCGCCGAAAACTAACGGGGAGAAAGGGATCGTTAGATTCACATCAGTTCAAAACACGACTGACGCGTCCACACATTCCACCCTTCCAATTAATCAAAAGCCCGTATCGGTTTCTAGATGAACGCAACACGCGAATTCGGTTAAACAGAAATTTCGGCGCGGTATATACAGCCGGGAGAAAATGAAAGCGACGCGAAAAGCTTTTCCGGTATGTATATCGTGCGCGAGCGCGCGCCCACACGTTTGCGTCTGTTTTTGCAGCTACGTACGAAAATGATTAACGACGTCGCGATGAAAACGAGGTCGAACTTTCGGCGGCACATCCGCCGCTACTCTCGCACGTGCAACGTCGACCTCTTCCCTCCCGAGTGATTCCGTAGCGCGGTTTTTTCAGACATCGCCGGGCGTCATTTGCGTCGCCGGAAATTCCAACATTTTTTTTTTCGCGTCCTCGTCGAAACAACGCGTGACGAGAACCGTCTCGGGGCATTATACCATACGTGACGAGAAACAGGTGCGCGAGAAAAGTGTCGCGCGCTTGTCTCCTCTTCAACAGCGTGGTAAAGCTCGCGCCGTAAACGGCTGTCGCCGCCTCAACCGGTACGCGCGCGCGCGAAATATTAATTAAGGTACGTTACCTCGCTAAAAGGTCGTATCTTACGTCAAGTTTTTCTGTCTCTCTCGCGAAAACAAATGTTGGTCTTTTTATTAAGAGACGAACTTGCGCGTGTACGAGTGTTATTTTTTCTCCTTAAAAATTCTAAAAATCTTCAAAAGTTACATTTTCGTTAGAAATTTATATCGTTGCGCTAACAATCTCCCGGGAGGTTAATTAGAAATTCCAATAACATTTTCTCGACGGCAACCCTTTGATCCGTGTGAGAAAATTCAAGAAATGTTTTCGCGTATCCAGTTGAAAAGCTCGTTGCTGAAACGAATATTAATTCCGAACGAGAGACGAAAGTGGAGCGCTTTTAACGGGTATATTCGCAAAATAAATCTATTTTCGCGACGCCCCAACTAAGGATCGATTAATAATTGTCAGATTATCGGATGGCCATTCTTTCTCCGCTGCAATTTTCATCGATTCGAGGGAAGCGGGAAGCGCGCGTACGAGAGGGAGAGAGAGAGAGAGAGAGAGTTAATTTTTCCTGCGCGGAAAATCCCGCGCGGTTAGTAATTTCTCTTTGTCTTCCCATCGACCCCGTCGTCGATTATCTCGCGACACACACAAAACTAATTAATATTTGTCAGTTTCTTCTCCCGTTGACACGCGGGGTTACACGTGTGTGTGCTCGGGATAATAAGCAGTGTATGAAAAATACACTTTTCCGTCGCGAGGGTTTGTTTTTCGTCGAAAAAACGATTTTTTCTTCCGTCGGTTCGTCGCCAGAAAAAAAAAAAAAATGTTCGCGATTCGACATTAGTCGACTCGATCCGAGGGAGGAAGAAGGATGGGAAAACGATAGCGATCTCTTTGACCATACGTCGCAAGCCGAACGAACGAAGGAACGCGAGAACTCTTCGAGGGGAACGCGAAAGCGACCGATCAGATTTCAATGGACGCATTTCAATCGGGGTCACTGCATACGAATTTCGCTTTGGTATGCAATGATTTATGGTTCGTTGCGCGTTCTGGTTGCGGTCGAGGCAGGAGGGAAAAAAGGTCTCTCTCCCTCTCTCCCTCTTTCCTCTCTCTCTCTCTCGTCGAAAAGCTCCGCCGCCATCGGCGAAATGGACGGAACGAAAAGAAAGTTATCGGCGTTTCTTGTATTTTATTCCGACGTCAACATTGCCGTGTTGCGTAGACGTGCCGAAATCGAGAAAGAGGATTTTACGAAAGAGGCAAAGTACACACACAGAGCTACGAAGTCGTGCGGCTAATTTGCCTTGAAAAACTTTAAACGTTCCTAAGATAATTACATAACACAATAAATAAAGTTTATACTCAGCAAACACATATAAATCAAAATACACAATCGTTTCTCTCGGAAATAATAGTTTTTAACGATCCAGAAATATTTCCGAATATTTATTTTACTTGAAGTGTCGTCCCGCGAATCGGAAGCCCGGCGCGCTCGCCGCATCTTCTTTAATTAAAAGCACTTACCTTCTTCGCGTCATTGTTGTTGTCGGCTGCATGATGTGGTTGCGGACTCATTGAAGCACCATTGCTGACTGCCCCGCTTTGCGACAGAAGCTCGTCGCTACCCCTCTGAAACAATAGAAGCACACAGAGTTGCGATATAAATAACTCCTTTATACTCAGGACGACTCCTCCAATAAATTCCACTTTCCGCGACGCATATTTCACGTCTGTAAGTAATAACGTGATTCGGAATTACTACTACTGTGCGAGTGTCGCGCGGCGCGCGTTTTCGCATAAATCTAAATACATTACAAACTTCGACGTTATTAATGACGTATATGTTTTCGGAACACAGATGAGCTGGCGGGGAAAGAGGGGGAGGGATGGAAAATATCGTTGCGCGGCAAAGAGCCGTAATATAAAATATCGCAGTAATTTTGCAGAATACGATGTTTACGTCCTGCAGTTGAATATTTTGCTACGAGCACTAATCGGCGCGCACGCTAGTCTCTCATTTCATCCCTTCGAAGCTTTGAAGGGAATTGAAATAAATTATCGCGAGTCGAGTATCTCTCGATTACTTAAGAAAGCGGAAAAAGAAGACGGTGCGAATCCTCCCCCGAGCGAAATCTTCACTCGATGTCTCTCGGTTTTCTGATAAATCTCGACGTCAAAAGAAACGGATCACGAAGAGCGTGCGCGAAGTACGTGCTTTTAACACGAGGCGCGGATTTAAATGCTTCATGGTCTCTCAGAGACGCGCGGAAAAATCTTATGGTCACTCGAGCGAAGAAGCTCGCGAAATATTAATTATTAATTCTCGTGAGCGACCTCATTCGTTTTCCTTAAGCGAATCGTGTCTCTTCGAAAGAAGAAATTTCTTCTTTTCCCGACTTATATCTCGCAGAATCGTTAATCGATCTGCGTGCAATTACGACAGAGAGAGGAAGTTGATACGGAAGCTAGTCTCGATAAGCAGAATAAAAAAAAACTTGCACTCACTGAGTGCATCTTCTTATAAAAAAATATCTGATATACCTAAAACTATTGTAATATATTAAATAAAACGCCTGAATACTAAATAAATAAAAATTTTATGTTGAATACTGATAAATAAGTAATATTTTTATGTACCTGTGTGTGAAAATTAAATTTGTGATCTTTCGCGACTTTGTGCACGTCGGCGTCAAAGGGTACGTACGTCGCGTGTGTCGCAGTCGTGTTCGCTTTAACGAAATATTTATCGGGGACTCTCTGCTCTCGTCGCTGCATTTATTCACGAATAACAGAATGCATTATGCAATCGCGGGGTCGGACGCGCGCCGCGTTAAATCTGCAGATGCGCGCTTTGATAACGAGAGCCGCGCAAGACCGTGGTTTCGCATGAGCGAATGCGCACGGAGGATAATTCATAACTCGTAAGGAAAGCCAGAGAACTTCGAGAGACGACCACGTCGAGAGGGAATACGAGATCAAAGATAGAAAAGACGAGTGGACGAAGCGGAAGGAAGTCAGAACGCGGTCTTTGCAGAACTCAGCCCGCGGCCACTTTTCTCGGGTCATCGGGCAACAAAGAGCAACATCTCTTTTCCCAGCCGCGACTTCATTATTCCGCGACAAGTTCGTTGCTTCCTACGTCGCAATTAATAATATACATAATGTTTCGTGTTTCTTTACTTTTGTTCTCTTAAAAGCTATTTTGACGCGCTTCACAAAGTGATGATTCGCGTCAGCGCGAGTGTAAAATTCAAGAGCAAACTTCTCTGATCCAGTTCGACAATAAAAAAAATTCGATTTTTATTGTCAAGTTTTTAAATGACAACTTTTATATCGAACAAGATCGCGAAGATAAAAAATATTAAAAAAATAAAAAACAGAATTATGATGGAAGATCAATTTGTCACACAAGATTGTCACACAAAAACTACCATTTTCGGCGAATCGTATTTTGATTCTTTGGTCCTACTGACGATACAAAATCGAGTTATTCTCCGCCAGGTCAGAACAAAAGATTTTCGTGTGTTCAGTGGTCTTCTCAAAATATAATACCGAAAAGAATATTCAAAACTAAGCAGAGAAATACAGGAATAGTCGATGTGTCAACGATATTCATAGAATATTCATAAATCGACAGAGGAGTGAGATGTGTCATCCGTTTAACGAGACGCTTGTTCTCGTTTGTTTTTTCTCTCCTCTGCCTTAATGAACAATTTTTTTTTTTTAATTTCGCGCAGAAAATTATCTTCAAAGATGCGCGACTTTTCCGCATAAATTGAGGAAAACGAGATTTTTATCTCCGCCTCGCATCACTTATTACGAAAATGTCATCCACTTTTTTTCCAGTTTAGCGACGTTTTTCACTTGCAGCGCGAACCGCGCAAATAAGTATAATTATATTACGTTTAAGCGTACACATACACATACACACACTCACACACACATTATGTACGTACATTCATTCGCCCGGTTACGCGGAAAGTCACGAGTGTTTTATCTCTCCCTCGAGAACGTGTGTATCGCAAATAAAGACGTAAAAAAAACGTCGACGAGCGCAATTATAAGACCGCAACGTTTTCCGCGACGGCGCACATCTCATACACGGTTTATCCTGCGATGGGATTGCGGCGCGCATCGAGTGCGCGCTGTTAGGCGGAATCATCGCTCAAAGAGAGAGTCGTCGGCAGAAGAAGAAGTTTCCCTCGTACGCGAAACACATCCTCTCGTCTCGTCGCGAGATATTGCGAGAAAAAGAGTCGCGCGGACGGAGACACAAGTCGTGGCAAAGATAGAAACAAACTCATGCGGATTCCTCGTTTTCCCGGAACACACCGACGAGACTCATCCCCCGGACCAACATCCGGCCGGATCCGATCCCCGGCGCACCGTGTATTATTTATTTCTCGCGGACGTACGGATCACGGTCGGGTTGTCCCCTCACACAAGAACTCTTCCTCTATTTCGTGTTCTCATCTTTCACTTCTCCATCCTCTGCGAAGCAACCGCGTCTCGTCTTTCTCGAACTCGCGACGAAATCGCGTGTTGTTTTGTCGTCGAGATCTTAAATCCTGGAGGAAGCAGCCGTGCGCGTCTTTCTTCTCGCTCTGTTTTCTTCCTCATCCTTTCGCGTTTCCGTCGGAAGAGACCAATCTCCCGTGCGAGTCGAGCGGGAGATCGGCGCGCGCGCGCGCGTCTTATGTGCCCGACGACCCGCACGGAATTGTCTCTGAGACAATCGTTCGCGTCCGGATACTCGACGGGAGCACAACGATGAAGCTCCGCTTCGGATGACAAACCAATCTCACGCGCCGACGAGAAAACCTTCTCTCTTACTGTCGTCGCGCTCCGTTGACCATATCCGGGTGACTGTCAGGTGAATAAAAACCGCGATATTAAATCACAATCGATCGCCGCGACGAGAGAAAAGTTCATGTTCACGAGAAACGTTAAAAAAAAAAGTGAAGCTGATCGACGATTTTCAATTTTATATATTCGACGAGATTCACAGATTTGAAAATCGTTACGACGAACAATTTTAGCCTGTGATATTGTTGTCCTTTCGACGCGGTCAACTCGCCACTTACGAGCCGGCGATTGCCTATCCTATAGGAGGGTCAATTTTCTCGCACGAGAGACGACGGAAGGATGCGAAACACGCGAGCGTAGCGCGCCACTAAAATAATATTGGCCGAAGATAGCCGCGCTGATAGACCGCTAGGCGAGGAAAAGGGCTCGGTCGAGACGAGAGAACGCGAGGGGGGGTCCCATTATTGCCTTTCGAGATGGATAGCTTCTGGATACACGCGCGCTTGTCTTCCCACACGATCGGCCCCGGAACTTCACTCGAGAGAAGATTGCGAAGATTTCAGAACCGAGAGAGAGAGGAGTTGGATCGCTTCGTTTTATGATACGGGATTACGTTGTACAGATCCTGTGATATATTATTCGCTTCTTCGTGCGCACTGTATGTTCGCGCCGATAAACAAAGTTTCCGTGTCATCAACAAAGATTGTTTGCATATATTGACACCGCGTTATGAAAATTCATCGACGATTGCGCACCTGCGACCTGCGTCATTGTTACGCAATAAAATCTGATTGCTGAAATATCTCGGGAATATGTTTAAATCCCTTAAACGTGATAGAAATTTAATATGTTCGGAAAAAACAGCAATAAAAGAAAAATTAATCGACGAGTGTTTTGCAGTAAAAATTGTTTTCGATTAAAGAAACAAACGCAAGCTAACGGAATCGGTAATATTGTGTCTCTAATGACCAATATTAGCAAGGTTTTCATGTAACTTGTATCGCAAACTTGCCTACAAGATAATTCGACGAGAGAGAAGGCGAGAGAGAGAGAGAGAGAGAGCAGAAGTTTCCCGCTTCGAGTCGCGATTCTTGTCGAAAACCCTCTTCGATGGCAAATGACGTGGAAAGAGGGCAGAAATTAAAGCCGCTCGTTAGAGAGAGCGGAAAGCTTCGAGCTGTGCTCGCCGTGTTTCGGCTTCGTTGAACCGCGAACAGAGAGAATGAAAGCTTTCGTGGGTTTCGGAACATACAAAGAAATTCGCGAAGTCGGATCCGCGTTGGAATTTTGCGATCCCGTCAAACGCCGGATTATTGGCTGAAATAAATAACCGCGCGACTCTTGCACGTCCTTACGCGGTATAGTTCCGTATCCTCTCCTCTCCCTCTCAGGATTACATCAATCCGCTCCCCCAATCAGCGGCTGCTATCAAAATCCTCGACAAATTCAATTTATCGCCGCTCACTGCGGTAAATTTTCCGAGTAACGCGCGTTCATGTGCGATTAATTACACCGCGCGCGAGAAGCGTTTCCTTTCTTCTTCTTATAACAATCTTGAAGATTAGTTCGCGCGAAGAGAGCAGAACCTCAAGTTCTACACTTTCTCGCAAAACGAAAACTGCTGCCTCAACGTGAGGGGGAAAAAAAAAATCGACACGGAGAAAAAATGGATCGACCAAAGAGAAAGTTCGCATAAAAGGAATGTCGGTTGATTTTCCCAGACACTCCGGCGCATTATATGCAACCCCGACGCTTTTGCGCGCTTCTCTCCCATTCCTTTCCTCCTTGCGCCCGATAAAAATTCGCGGATCCTGATGAATGGG